AACAACCACCACTACCTGAGCTCCAATTGTATACGCTAGATTGAAATAATCAAACTCAAAATCTCATTATTGCCGCCTCTTCAATCGATTAGACTCCTGATGGGGAACCCGACCAGTAGACTCAAACCAGAGACGGGGCCGGGGGGGGGGGGTGCTACTCAAATCGGGGTCGGGGATCTCCAGTAGAATCAAACTAAATGATACTATTTATGGGCTTTGACTGGGGATTGATCGAGGTTTTATCGCGGATTGCATGAGATTTGACTGGGGACGGGATAATAATCCCCGTACCCGTCGGGGCTGGGGGACGTTACTACAAACCGGGGTCGGGGCCGGGGATTACAAAACCCGCCCCATCCCCGTCCTGTTGCCATGCCTAGATTAGACACCACTGGATGGAAGATGAGATTAAAGAAACCGTTCAGGTGAGAAAATAGAATGAACATATAGGTTTTTTAGGGTTAAAGATTTTATGTTTTTTTTTTTAATTTGAAGATTTCTTTATTCTATTAAGTTTTTTTTTTCTATTTTAAAGGAGAGTTTAACATAGCTGTTGAAGATTTTTTTTTCCAGAATTATAATTTTTTAGAATAACATAGTTGTTGTCTGTTAGAGATGCTTTAAGACGGACCAAATTGAAATGAAATTCTCAATGAAAGGATTGAAAATGTAAAAGTCAAAGGTTGAGTGACCAAAGTTGTAGTTTATGATACCTTAGGGACCTTTCTTGTGAATAAAAGAAAATACGGCATCGCACCACCAAATTTAAAGGGTTTTTCTCTCTCATATCTTCTCTCCCCCTCTCTCTCACTTCCGACAGGAGAGAGAAAGCTCCCTCCCCAATATCTCTCTTCCTATTTATCCCAAAAAAACCCTATCTTTCGTATCTCAAAATTAAATATCTTGATTCTATAGATTCAACTTTGTTCTTCAATTGCTGATTCAACTTTTGAATTGATCCGATACTGTTTCGATTGGAGAAAAAAGAGAGAGAAAATTCGAGGTATGCAGGCTGATCAAACGGTAATAAGCTTGAGACCTGGTGGAGGAAATCGAGGAAGAACCACTGGCCCTCGTTTTGATTCGTCGGCTTTCGGTTCATCAGATCTTCCAATCCTTCGTCCTCATGGCGGAGCTGGCGCTCCTTCTCTCGCCGCCTTCAAGGTTGTTACCTATTTATTTTACCCTGTATGGATCTAGGGTTTTGTATTTTAAGCTCTTTTTTTGTTTTCATTTTATTGAATTTTTATTCATGTCGTTAATATTTGTATTCGTCATCATGATTTAGTTTTGAATATTCTGTTTAGTTATCTTCCATTCATTTATACATACTTACGTACATATATATATGTATGCATATATACATGTCTCGTTTATGTAACTGATGGTCAAAAACTATCATATGTGGCTTAGATTATGACTACTTTTGTATGTATGCGTACACGTATGCATGCATGTAGATGTAGGTTGATAGGAGAATCTTGTTTTGTGGGTTTTGATCTTTTGATGCCTGAAAGCAAATATGCCGTTTTAACATATGAAATAAATAATTTTTTTTTTGTAACTTTATTGTCTGGGTTATCGTAGGGGATTTCTGGCAAGCTGATAATGGCCTTTGTAAAAGGATTATTGAATTGGACCAAGAGGGCTGTGATTTGATATGAAAAAAAATGGATTCTTGAATTATTTTTCAAGTTCTGTGAATTGATAGTAGCAGTCTGCACTTGGTGTAAGAGGGGAAGCTAAGGGTGAAAAGAAACCAGCGACTATTTTGATACCTTGATAATGGGCTCTGTTTATCAAGTTCAGTAAGGTTATCAAGGCATTTATGTGCTGGCATATGTTTTAATGTTGTTAGTGACTTAAAGGTTCATGTTTCGGGTGGTATTCAATTTTGGTGAAGAAGACAAAGACAGGGAAGGTTTTCTTTCTCTTAATTCAGATTACAGAACAAAGAAATCTCTGAAGAATGGAAGTTAGATAAAATCAAGAAGATAAGAACTAGCAATAGACTTCTTCTCGCCTATGGACTTGCTCTCTTACTTTTTGTTTTTCTACTAACACTCCCTGTTGTCATTGTTTTGGTTGGATGCCAGAAAACTATCTGATATTTAAGAAAGGGTTATGTTGCATTACAGTTTCCAAATAGAGTTCATATTGGTAGGCTTATGTCTTGTTAAGTTGCTGACACCTTATATTACCATATACTACAATTTTACGAAATGGGATGGCTTGGATGGAATGTTGGCCTGTCGTTCATTTGTTCTATCTGGGTATTGTTTGGGGAACTATGCTGGTAGAAGATATTAATCTGAAAACGTCATTATATTCAATAATTCGTGTTCATTAAAGGGTGTGATGATGACATGGAATACATGACGTTAACTTAGAATGTCCTGATCGGTGGCAGGATGAGTAAGTTACTTTTTACTTCATTTTTTGTTTTTAGGTATTATAAAAATACAACAGGGAAGATGTATTGACAAACACAGTAGTATTCTTCAATGTTTTTTATTTGTAGAAAAGGTTTCTCACCATTTATGTCCAATGTTCCTTCTATTAGTAACTTGATTCACATAATTCTTTTGAATCATTAATGAAATTATGTTTTTGGATGGAAAATTGTTTAATATAGGCATATAGTGGAACCTTGGAAAACAGGCTGTAACATGTGGATACGGCAAAAAGTTTGTGGTATTATAAAGACTTCCGTCATTTAATGTACTTATTGATGCTCTACCTGTTCCTTTCTCTATTCGCACCAAAAGCTGTTTTCATTGTTGATGGCCTAGTTTTTCATGTCATATTGTTCGGTAAAGTGTTTTTTACCTATTCATCATTTCTTGTTCTAGACTGGTGATTCCCGCTTTGAAGTCCGTGAACGTGTTCGGTATACCAGAGACCAGCTGCTACAACTTAGAAAGGTAATGCTTAACTAATACATGTTGGCATGCATGCTACTTTGTTGATGTTATATTGTTATAGCCTGAATGGTAATGGAGCATTTCATAATGATGTTTATTGGAGTTTTTTATGCTATGCTTACTTCACTTTTGTCATTTTTTTAAAATTCAAAACCGGGAGGTTTATTTATTTGATCTGGCTTTTTGGTTGATATGTTTTCCCACTACCTAACTAATTCTTTTACAATTAAGAGCCATACCAAAGATGGAGGTTTATGCACCAATGTTTGACTGTTTATGTTTGATTTGATATGTTTGCCCCTTATTCTGAGTAGGTTGTAGATGTCCCTGAGGAGATTCTTAAAGTCAAAAAAGAAGTTGACGCCGAGTTTTTTGGTGACGATCAAAACTGGACCAAAGCAGAAGCAAATGTAAGTATTGTTCATACTTCCATATTTACAGATAAAATATGTAGGCAAGAATCTGAGCTTTCTGTCATGCTCTCCTCGAGGAAGAGTCGCTTGCACTAGTTCTTTCATCTGTTACAGTTTATTCTCTTTCAAGTTTCAATATAATGATTTATTTTTCTGCAGCTGCCAAGTCTTCCTCAGGCACGTTATTCGGAGCTTGATAATCGTGACTGGCGAGGACGTTCAGGTCCTACTTCCGTGGAAGAGAGGTCTTGGGATGCTGGCCGAGACAATAGGGATTCTGGCCGTTTTGACAACAGGCAACAGGACACGAATCATTATAATCGTCATGACCAACTGAACTCACAGTTTGGTAGAGCACAGACTCCTAACCAAGGGGTGAGTTCTTTAGTAAGATAATGTCGTTGATACTGATTTTTCATAAATATTTAGTGCATTTTCATCTTCTAAAACATTTTAAGTGTTACATTTTTCCATGCTTCTAAGTGATGAAATTGCAGCCGATTTAAGTAAATTATGATTGCGGGGTTCCTTTAATTGTTTATGCAATAAATACAACCATCACTCTTTTTGGTTCTATACATATCATTTGTCATCCTTGCATGCTCATGATATATTTTTCAACTATCTATTTCTTTGGGTACTTCATATGGTTAAGGGAAATCCTTGGGCGCTGTTTTCCTTCAACAAAACAGAATATCCAGTTTGGTGCTCCTGTCATTTGCATTTTTCCTTTAAAAAGATAACATGTGATACTTGAGGTTTCTTCAAGTAAATCATTGGTTCCAATGTCTGCATTAAGTTAATTTTTACAGACATGATTTAGTTTGTGACAGTGCTTATCTGTGACTGCTTATCATTTGGATATATGATGATAGTTACTGTATCATATGCATATCTTCTCTTTTCTATTGTGCGATACATGGTTGGTCACAGTTTCTTGTGGATTTTGACCACAACTACCGAAGCATATATGTCTGGGTGATGCTGTGTTTTATGCTTTGAGATTTTGTTCATACCCGTGGGTGTTAAATATAAGTTGGTTCTCTTTTTTTTGGAACAGAGTGGCCCTACTCCTGCCCTTATCAAAGCTGAGGTGCCATGGTCTGCTCGGAGGGGGACTCTTTCTGAAAATGACCGTGTCTTGAAGACAGTAAAAGGGTAAACTATTGTTAATCTTCATATTACAGATTATGCTACTACTGTTTAAGGATGAGAACTTTTGTTTCTTAGGGGTACTGATTTTTATGTTATTTGTTGGAATATGTGGAAAGTACACTAAGTTTTTCTAACTCTTATTCTTAAGCATCTGTAAAGAGTACTAAAAGTTTGATGGATATGTCGAGGATGCAGCATTTTGATTTACCTTTGATAGCTTGAATTTATAAACTATGACTAAAATTGAAATTTAGAACCACCAATATGTTTTAGCTCTCCACTTTGCGAATGATTATTATGTTTCTAAAGTGATTTACCAAAATCACCCATCGACTATGTGCAATCTTGCTGGTTCATCCTTTACTTTCTGAAGACTTGTGGTCCCTGGATCAATTTTTGCCCTTTTTAGTCTCCCAGTCCATTTTCATTGGTTAAAGGGTGTTGCCTGTTGGTCAAAGGGGCAAATTGGTCGCACACAGCTACTGTTTTATCTATTATTATTTTAATATTAGAAGTATCAAGGGTTATCTTTTGTATCAGTGTGGTTTTGTTTAAACACAATGAAATTCGATGAGGAAGCTGACGATGCTCATTCTTGTATTGACACTGGATGACTTTGCTTGCCTTTTCAGTATCCTGAACAAGCTGACTCCAGAGAAGTTTGATCTTCTCAAAGGGCAACTTATTGACTCAGGGATCACAACAGCTGATATTCTGAAGGTTCATATCTATCACATATTTATGTCAATTTCTATGAACATTGTTCTGTATTTATTTATTTTTTCCTGCTATTGCCATTGGACCATTGAAGATAATCCTGTTACTGTTGACAATACAGGGTGTGATATCCTTGATATTTGACAAAGCTGTACTCGAACCTACATTTTGCCCAATGTACGCTCAATTGTGTTCGGATCTCAATGGGAAGCTCCCCCCATTTCCATCTGATGAGCCTGGTGGAAAAGAGATCACATTCAAGCGCGTGCTGTTGAATAATTGCCAGGAGGCTTTTGAAGGTGCAGACAACCTGAGGCAAGAGATAAGGCAGATGACAGCCCCCGAGCAAGAGGCCGAGCGTAGAGATAAAGAAAGAATTGTTAAGCTTCGTACACTTGGAAACATCCGTTTGATTGGTGAGCTTTTGAAACAGAAGATGGTGCCTGAAAGGATTGTTCATCACATTGTTCAGGTTTTGGTTCAAACACTCTTTGTATTTCGTTCTTCATTAGAATTAGCCTGTGGACAAAATATATCAACATGTAAGAGAGTTCCAAAAATCTCTCTTTTCTACCTATTTTGACCATTTGCCTGTTGAACCTGTAACCTATGCTGTTAATATCGCGATATATCGACGATATATCGGATATCGGACCTAGGCAAAATATCGCTGCATAAATATCGGTCAAAATATCGTCCCCGATATTATCGGCGATTTTTCCCAATATTTAGCGATATTTTAATGTATATATCGGACCGATATATCGATTTTTTAGGGTTCCATTATTTGGGCTTTTGTTATTTCATGGGCTTAGTTTTTGGGCTTGGTTACATATATTATTAGGTCTGAAATTAATAGTCTGCCTTCCAACGGTCTTCTTCCTTTCTTTTCATCTTTACGACTTCACACTTCACAGACACCTAGTTCACTTCACGAATCACGACTTCAGACTTCTTACAACTTCAGACTTCTCACGAATCAAGTGAATGTATTGGATGATGTTGACTCGGATGCCGAACCTATTGCTTGCGATTAGCTCGTTTTTGAACACTTTAGATGATGTGATGTTTTAATTTTGAAACTGTATTTCTAAACTCTAATTAATGCATATTATATATATAATTCTAAGAAATATTATGTTAACCGCTATTTTGGACCGATATATCACTGATATATCACCGATATAACCGATATATCGAATATCGGTCCTGACCGATATTTTGTATTCTGACCGATATAACAGCATAGCCTGTAACATTTGATGACTTAGATACCTGTTTTGAAACGTTCACGAAATGGTTACAGCAAAGTGGATGATAAACTTGACATCCATGCCATCACATGCTACAAAATCATCAGGTTACCCGTCAAGATGGGTACCAAACATGAAAATTTGGAACTTCATTACATTAAATTTGAATTTTGAAACTTTCTTACATTGGTTGGGAAAGAAATTCCTCTGTTACACTAAATAGGAACCGAGTCAAACTTCATTGCATTTTGATGCCTTAGGTTTGCGTCATGGATCTTGTTTAGCAACATCGTGCTTATCCTAACTGTTCATGAAAACAGGAGCTCTTAGGACCCGACAATAAAACTTGTCCGGAGGAGGAGAATGTGGAGGCGATATGCCAGTTTTTCCACACCATAGGCAAACAACTTGATGAGAGTCCAAAATCTAGGCGGATTAACGATGCATACTTCATCCGACTAAAGGAGCTGTCGACAAACCCACATCTTGCCCCACGTATGAGGTTTATGGTTCGTGATATTCTCGACCTCCGCTCGAATAACTGGGTTCCCAGGCGTGAAGAGGTAGTCCTCGTGTTCTTTTTCTTTTTTCTTTTTTCTTTTTTCTTTTTTCTTTTTGGTGTCTTGTATATGAGAAGAAGTCAGGTTTGCCTACATCTCCCCTTCCTGACCCCACCTACGGGTGGAACATCATGGGTTCGTTTGGTTTGGTTTGGTTTTTATCTGAGCTAAGTCGCTTTCCAGGTGAAAGCCAAAACGATTACAGAGATCCATAATGAAGCAGAGAAGAACATGGGACTCCGGCCTGGTTCTACTGCAAGCATAAGGAACAATCGTGTGGTGGCTGCTGGAGCACAAGGGGGGTTAACCCCTGGTGGCTTTCCTTTGAACCGCCCTGGTGCTGGCGGCATGATGCCTGGGATGCCCGGAACCCGAATTATGCCTGGCATTCCTGGTATCGATAATGACAACTGGGAGGTCCCCAGGTCCCGGTCAATGCCAAGAGGTGATGGGACACGAGCTCAGCCACCTTCCCATGGAAGAACACCATCTTTGAATCAAAGATTTTTGCCTCAAGGTAGTGGTGGTTTCATTAGCGGTAGGTCTAGTGCCTTGGTGCAAGGCGGCGGTGGAGGCGGTGCCGCCCCTGTTCGTTTACCAAGCTTTGGAAATCCGGTGGAACCATCTCCGCCATCTGCTCCAAGTCCATCGAAACCTGTAGTAGCTGCTGCTCCTTCAAGAGCAAAGGATACGGATGAACTAAAGAGGAAAACAATCTCCCTTTTAGAAGAATATTTCAGCGTTCGTATGCTTGATGAAGCATTGCAGTGCGTAGAAGAACTGAAATCTCCGGAGTACCACCCGGAGTTTGTGAAGGAAGCCATTTCGCTTGCTTTGGAGAAAAGCCCACCATGTGTTGAACCCATCACCAAACTCCTTGACTATTTGTGTTCGAAGAAGGTTCTCGTTAAACCCGATTTAAGAACCGGGTGCGTCAGCTATGGGTCGTTGTTGGATGATATCGCCATCGATTTACCAAAAGCACCCAACAACTTTGGGGAGATTATGGGACGTCTGGTGGTTTCTGGCGGCATAGATTTCAAGGTGGTTGCGGAAGTTGTAAAGAATATGGAGGAGTATTTCCGCAAGGCGGTTTTTGGCGGGGTAAAGAGGATTGTGGGTTCAAGTTCTTCCGGGAACGTTATCTTGACAGCGCAGGCGGCCGACGTTGCGGTGTGTGAAAGCCTATTCTGAGAGCATCATAGGTGTGGGTAGTAAGGGTGGTGAGTGAGGTGTATATTTTGATTTTGATTGAAATTTGATAGCAATGAATGTGTTTTGAGATGGGAGGTGAAGAAGTGCCTTGAATTTTGGAACTTGTTCTTCTGTACTTTGGATATTTAGTTTTGTGACTTTTTATTTATTTATTATTCAACTTTTGAGGAACTTCATAAATATGACCGTCGTCCACCACCGTCTGCGGTGGTCGCTTGCCGCCGTCATTGCTGCAATCGGGTGGCGGCACTGCTGTGATGGTTCCTTGTTTTAGAGATTTACTCCGGCGATGAGCTTTTGTTGATATTCTAAGACCATTATTTCCGTCGTCGTTCATATTTTTATTTTAGGGAGTGTTCGGGATTGCTTATAAAAATAACTTATTGACTTATTCCGGTGTGACACCGGTAATAAGCACTTTTGAGTGTTTAAATAAACAACTTTTACCGGTGTCAAATCGGTGATAAGAAGTTTTTGAAAAAGTTAAATCATTTTAATTTATAATAAGTTGATAAGAACTTTTATAAAAGAACATATTTATACCTCGTCATAATCCAATAACTGTCGCTATCTTCAAAGGTGGAATACTTCAACTGTAAGCTAAACCTTTTCCTACAACTATTCAACACTCATCTCATCAAGGTGTTGTTAGAACCATTCCCCCAAGGACCTGATGCACATGCTGATAAAGAAAATGTTAGGTTTAACACCTAGTGAACTCAAACAATTTTCATCATAATTATAAAACAGTAAAATCGAAAGACTACTATTTAAATCGTAATTTAGTAAACAAAATATATTTATTGTAAAAGCAACATCTTTATGAAACCCACCGTTCCCTTGATGAAAAACCCATTAACCAAGACACCCATATAAATACAACCAAAATCCAACACTTACACAAGCAAGAATAAGCCATAAAAAGTTAAAACATAAAACATAGCTTTAATCAAGTCATTTTATATAATTAATTCATATTTACTGTTGGAAGGGTGTAAGGCAGCATAAGATGACGGAGGAGACCCAATTTGCTATTGGTTGTGGCGGAACACATAAGTAAGTCATAATTCAATGTTATATAAGCATTACTTATGGATAAACAAACATTGACATCAACCTTATCCGGGTCTTTAGTCAAATTGGTTAACAAGCTCAATTCTATCCAAGTCTTTACCTTGAGTCCTCCGTTGATCCGTGTCTCTAGCTACAATACATGGAATACTATCCCATTCCAACCGACTCCTATGCCTATGGATCCATTGCATTACAATCTGAATTACACGACACAAATGAATGACTAACGCACCCAAAACGTGTAATATCAAATAAATATGCCATAACCGCATATAATTTCAAAGCCAACATAGAGAAAATTAAATTGGACAAATGTCCCCAAGACTCATTTAAGTCAAACCAAGCCAAATGCTCACTAATTTTATTGACTATAAATAAAAGTCATCAAAAGGAATAAAACGCAGTTACCCAACGATTATGCAAACATATGCTCCAAAGGCATGATTAACTCAAAGACCCATAATTGGTTGAGACAAATCATTTTTCAAATGAAATCATATTTTTATTTTCCTATAATGCCTCAAAACACGAAAACATGCATCTTCCAAACAGTTTATAAAATAAAATACACCAAAATGCATTTACATCAAATAATTTCCATTGGTACAATAAATCATCTAAAGAACACATTATTTAGAAATAGACATGGTTGCATTTGAAATATATCCTACATATGTATGTATATATGTATGTATGTATATATATATATATATATGTATAGGGGTCTAATCAAATAAGAATTAATTAGTTTGTGGTAAGTATGAAATCCAACATGAGCCAATCATTTAAAATAATTAATATTTTTTTAAAATAAAATAGAAGGGTAAATTAGTAATTTGGGTTGAATATTCAATTTACTTTAATTAGATTAATTACTTTATTTTGGGTATCACATTATTTGTGTATCATACTAGTATCTAGTTCTCCCTTGACTCCCCACATACATACATACATGCATGCATGCATGCATGCATGCATGCATGCATGCATGCATACATACATACATACATACATACATACATACATACATACATACATACATACATACATACATATACAATGTAGGTATCATAGTGGTACTATAGTTGGTATCATAATGGTACCACAATTGGTATCATACTGGTCTCGAAGTTTACTTGTTGTGTTTTGGATATCACATTGTGTATTTTGGGTATCACATGGTGTTCGCCGAAATAAGGTTTACGGGAGGCCGGAAGAAAGAGAGAGAGAGAGAGAAGAGAGATAAAAAAAATTAAATACCTAAAATGCCCTTAATTAAAAATTTAAGAAAAATTATCAAAAATATTAGTTTCATAATTTATTCATTGATTTGTAATTGAGATTGAATTTCACAGTTATCACAAACTAACTAGTTTTTCCTTGAATGGACCCATATGTATATATATGAACATATATATATATATATATATATATCAAAATGTCGAAAAACCTAAATATAGGCTTTACAAGATTTATTAACCCAATTTACCAAATATGCAAATTTCGCCAGATGCCCACCACATTTGATAAACCTCAAATAAAACACTTTTTAATACTTCAAAATACATATTTTGGCACGTACATAGTTTTCATAAAACAACTCGAACTCACATTGCTAAGTTAGATTAGACCTAGTTTCCAAAACCATCTCTAGCTTCCAAATGATGAACACTTGAGATCCACAAGCAAACATCCCCAAGAAATCTTCTCAAAGCCATAAACCAAGCCAAAAGATACCAAAAATTATCCCAATATTTCAATTCCACCAAAACCCCCAAACTTAGATCTCAAAATACCAAAAATGCTTACGTCTTCCAATTCTTTAGATCAATAAACATGATTCTTCAATCTCTAAGCCTTTCCTTCCATTTGCTCCAAAACGCTCATAAAAATCGGCCCATGGTGAAGAGAAATGGAGAACAAAAATGAGGAAGAAAAGTCACCTGTAGGGCGACTTAGATCGCACCAAAAGTCACCCGGCCCCTCTCCAGGTTGCCCGACCGTTCCTCAACCATTTTCGATTGTTCCCCGAGCGTTTTATTACGGTTTTCTCGGGCGTTCTTTTGACCGTTTTGAGAAAATTTCGGGTGTTACATGATATGTTAGACAAAAAAGCACTGTTTTTATCAACGCGTCTACATGTTTTTACCATCGTTCAATATCGTTTGATGTATTTTTAGCCTAATTCTACTGTTTCGAGGGATTTTTAAAGTTTTTTTCTTGATTTAAAAGAATTTTTAGTTTTCTAATCGATTATGAGGGATTTTGTTTCAATTTTTTGGTTGATTTCAAGAGTTTCTTTTTGGTTTTCTGGTTGATTACGAGGTACAATCGCATCTTCTTGAACTTTTGAATATCATACGGTGACATCTTTTAAAACGATAGAATGACACCTTTTATTATATATATATATATATATATATATATATACTAGAAGGGTATTCGCGCAATGCAACGAGATAAATTTCTATTTTAATGTTTAATTTTTATTATTTGTCCCCATCGATGTAATATAATTTTATGTGGTTTTGAGAAAACGATAATGTTTGTATTTTTGAATGAAATATAAATTTGAAGATAACATAAAAAATTTATAAAAAAAATCGATATTAGTATTATATTAACTATTTAATAGTTTTTGTTTTTTTAGTGTAACTTCTTTAATTCAATTTTTTTTATTATAATTTAATTTAGGTATAATAACAAAGTAATTTATTTTTGTTTTAATAATATAATTTTTATTAAAGATAATAGTTAAACATTCGGTTAGAAACTTGATAATTATCCTAATTATATTTTAGCTTTTTTATATTTTAAAATAAGATGTTTATTCTCTATTTGATTATGTTTATCCGTAGTTAGTTACACGAATTTAAACATTGAGCTTTAATAAGTTGTACTTAATACATAATTTACTTGTAATCTTGAACTTTAAGTAATATGCATTAATATACAATAGTTTATGCATAAAAAATAGTTTTTAAGAGTTTTTGTCAAATGTTTTATAATATAGTATATAGTATATATATATATATATATATATATATATATATATATATATAAAGAAGAAAAACGAATGAATGCAGGAAAGGACCAAAATGCCCCTCATCTAATGGACGGTTGTTAACAGTCGCTGGTGGTGAAGAACAAAACGTTATAATAATGTAAACTTTATGGCTATTTTGGAATTAATAACTTTAGGGACCAAATACACGACAAACTTAGAACCGACAAATTTCATAATTTACTTTATTTTATTTATATATATATATATATATATATATATATATAGAGGTTATATTAAATGAGAAAACATAAAAAAAATTGATAACTACGATGTCAACGAATCTTAATCATCTAAGGATTTTCATCAAAGACTATGAAAAAAGTCAATATTTTAAATAGTATATACCACATCCTAACCGAATACAATATTTAAAGAGTGTTTAAAAGGGTAAAAATGGAAATTTGCATAAAATTCTAATTTAATGTGTGTTAAGATCTATAATATGTTTTCATTTTTGTTGAATTATCAAAATATAAATTATTTTAATTTCTAACTTAAAATAAAACACTATTTTTTAAATGTAAAACATTTTAACTACAAGAAAATTTAATTATAAAAATTATAGTAAATAAATAAATAATCATTATATTCTTTTTAATTTATACCAATATTATTATATATTTTTGAGATTTTTTTAATTGTTATGATTTTCTCATGAAATAGACCAAATTACGTTTTTAGTCCTCTTGGTTTGTTTAAAATTTCTATTTTCCTTCTTATTATTTTAAAATTATAAGTTTTATCCTTATGGTTTATAAATTATCTCATTTCATTTTCTTCTTATCCTCTTACATTTGGAATAGAAATGGCAAGGGGTCGGGTTCAGGCCGGGTATTGGTATCCCCGTCCTCGAAACCGATAGCTAAAACCGTCCCGATCCCCGTCGGGGATCTTCATCGGGTCCCCGCGGTTTCCTCGATCCCCGTTGGGAACCCGTTAAGGGTAAAAATCCTCATTTTCACCGTTGGTTATAACCGAACCCAAACCCGAAACCGATCTGAAAAAAATTACAATATGCTAATTTTCACAATTAAAG